TCTAGAGAATAACAAGGGGCTCGATTATGAAGACTGCCCGAAGGCGATTCGAGTCCCTGTCTCTGAGTCAGGTATTCTTGAAGCCAAGGCCTTCCACGTGCACTCGACCATGCGAGTCCGCCACGCCTGCTTAGATGCTGGCTTTAGTACAATAAGCCCGCAAGGGTGGCGGTATTGCCACTCCCTGCGGATCGTTAAGCTGCCTGATACGGTTGTGACGTTAGGATATGCAGCATTCCAAGGATGTTACTCTCTACAGGTAGCCGAAATGCCGGGATGTGTGGAGTTTGGTGTTCGAGTATTCTCCGAATGCTGTGCGTTGGAGAGTGTCGGTAACATTGTCGATGGAGGCAGCCATCTTGCGATTGGAGCCATCATCAGTCAATATGCCTTCGAAGAATGTGCTAAGCTAGCCCACCTATCCCTACCTCATGTGCGAGCAGTGGTGGATAGTAGCGCACTCACCTCCCCGCAGGCAGGTTTACCTCAAGGGTGCTTCTTCGCAAGCGGCATCCAGCAAGTGGAACTCGGAGAGGATACATACCACATAGGCCATAGAGCTCTTGAAAATTGCAAAGTGCTTACCCGGGTCGACCTTTCCAATACGGGCATTCATATCCTACATATGCACACTTTTGCGCAGTGCCACAGCCTAGTAACAATCCGGCTGCCGAACTGCCTGAGTGAAATTAGGGCAGAAGTGTTTGTGGGTTGTAAAGCCTTGGAGAGGCTGACTCTTCCGGGCAACATTCGTTATCTAGGATATAGGGCCTTTGGGGATTGTACAGAGCTCTTCTCCCTTGAGTATGCATGGAACAAGCAGAAGGCATGGCGATATGCTGCCGACAATGCCTTTGAAGGATGCCTCAAACTGACCACCCCTAAGTGGCTCCACCGCATCCCGCCTAAGGATAGCGATTGGATTGCCCCTTGTTGCTGACAGAGTTGAATGAACGCCTAGCAACAACTCCTAGAGTAGTGCCAGGCCTGAGTGAGCATGGACGGTTACCCAAGTAGCTGCCCCTCTGCACTGTGAGGCTCAAACCCCCAGTAGCTAGTACAGGCACAGGGAATAATACTGCCATGCATTGTGACATGGAGTCGCAAACGAGCTCACTAGTCAGCAATGAACGACAACTAATGGTCTACCTGCAGTTAACCTCTCTCTCAGGAGAAGAATACCAAGTCATTGTCGACCTCCAAGAATTTGATCGTTTTGACGAGTTTGAAACTGCTGTCCTGGAGCAACTCCCTACAATAGGAGGCACCAGCACATTTGGCTGCGAACTCACCTTTGTTAGACAAGACACCGGGCAGCTCCTGCGCAGTCCGGTATGGGACACCCTCAGAGACTGTAACCACTTCCAAATTGTCGTCCGCCAATGCAGTCATTGTGCAGAGCACAAAGGCCAGATGAGAAAGAACGCAAAAGCATTCCGAGTCCCTGTCACCCGTTCAGGGCAGGTGCTCCCCCGCGCTTTCACACATTCGAGTGACATCAGACACCTACAAGTTGAAGCCGGCGTACACACCGTTGGGGAAGCGGCCTGGCAACATTGCACTAGGCTTCTCATAGTGCACCTGCCCAGCTCACTGCTATGCCTGCAAGAAGGAGCCTTCCGATGTTGTTACGTGCTCCACACAGTCACAGCCCCGGGGTGCATTGACTTCGGTTGTTGGGCTTTCGAGGAGTGCCACGCGTTGGCCTGGGTTGGAGACCCAGACCAAAGAAGCAATCAATTAGCACCGCAGGCGAGGCTCAATGTCCGAGCTTTTGAGAAATGCCGTACCTTGCGGACAATTGGCCTGGAAAGGACTAAATATAACCCACGAGACCCGAATCGGGTCATCCCAGAAGGCTGCTTCCTAGGGACAGGGCTGGAAATGATTGATCTCCCAGCTGACTTCAGCTGGATCGGACCAGCTGCCTTTGAACACTGTACAAGGTTGCAGACGGTGGACATCTCCCGCACTGGCATTCAGGAAATCGTAGGGAACGCCTTTGCAGGCTGCGCCCAACTACAGTGCCTCAAACTGACCAAGACCCTGAGACGCATTGGTCGAGAAGCCTTCGTGAAGTGTAGCTCACTAGAAGTCCTACACACTCCACCCGCCTTGCTATACATCAACAAGCGAGCCTTTGCTGACTGTACACAGCTCTGCAAACTCGTCCGAATGGGCAAGAAAGGAACTTGGAGGGGGACCCATGTAGAGCACAACACTTTTGAGATGTGTACCAAATTAACACTCCCATCGTGGATTCGGCCTCTTCCCAAGCCAGATGCAGTGAAAGAAGAGTGGGAAGAATTCATGATCAGTTGTGCAGAAGCCACTCTGAGTGATACGGCACGTTCGTAAAAAGCATGTGATCCACAGTACCACTGGCCCAGTGGTAGGATTGCAGAAGGTCTATGCCTTTCGACCCTTCTGCCGGCCTTGCTCACGCCACTGAGTAGATAGCCAGCTCCCCTGGCTGCCTTCCAAGAGGTGGTCAGGGATGATACAGTGTACAGAAAACTAGCACTAGGAACAGCGACGTTTCACCCTTGTGTTTCACCTAGTTCATGGGGCTTGCGTGATAGACCGTACTCTGAAGTACTCTGAAGCACTCGAGTGACCCAGAGCTGCAGCGGTACCTTCTTCGGCACAACTCCACACCGCGCCTGCTTTTGTGCCTGTGCAACGGTCACGTTGGTGCTTTGATTGAAATGGATGGTCCAGCTTTGCGTTGAGACCAGGTCTGTTCTGTGTCATTTCTCTCATTGACGCTGTCACCTGGTCTCTCGTGCTCCTTGCCTCCCCCGCTGGGGGAGGCAGTGTCTTGCTTGCTGCTGCTCCGACCCTCACGGTGCCACCGCTTATAAGTTACATTGGTGGCATCTAGCCCCCAATTGGTGGCATCTAGCCCCTGATTTGATTCCCATCCCACCCACCCATCCACCTCGTGGATTTGGTTTCCATTCCCCTCTTGCTCCACTACCATGACAACACTGCACACTGACAGTGCACCCACCACAGGATCACAGGATCACAAAGCAAAGTGTACTTGATGCACTAGCGTGGCCATGCTAGCTTGGCAGTGTTTGCTTTGAATAAGTTCAATGTCAAGCTAGCAAAGGTGCTGCCCAGTCTCTATTTGAAGCCAAGCAAGAGCCCCTGGAATTTTTTTTTGGAAATAGAAACTTATAGAAACTTATATTAAAGAATACAAAAGGGTAAAAGGTTTGTTGTGGATGAGGTGGTCGGGGTGTTTAAGTAAAAACAAATCTCATCAACATTGGAACCAAAGGACATTTCTCGGATCCATAATGCATGTGATCCACTCTCGGATCTAATCAATCTGCCACGGCTGCAGGCTCACTGGGGGTTTTGGGGCCAGGCGACACCAGTTCCCACAGCACTTTTCTGCGGCGCACAGCTCAGATCGACACCAAGCATAGAGACATGACAGGTGCCAGACACGTCTTCCAGAGAAGTTGAAACAAAAACTTTGTTGGTCTCAGACTCGCATGAAGCATCATTGAGCAAACTAAATGGCATTAAATGGCCAAGTGGTGTATGTCCGAACTTCTCAGGTGCCTACACATCCAGATGCCAATTTCTGGTCTTCAGGACAATCTATGTTTTGAGTGGAAATCATACACGTGCAAATTTGTTGACAACTTTGCAGGACTGCCCCACCTATGTCTCAAAGACCTCTTCACGGCCAGCAGGCTTGGTGTTGTGATGCATTGCACAAATTCGAGAAATAGAAGAAACATGTGGTAGTTTTTTACTTTCCAACACTCCACCAAGCTCCAACTCACTTCAACTTACCCCGCTCATCTCACAGCTCTGCAGGCCTTCCAACTGGATGGTGGCACGTCCGGTTCTCATTTCAAGTGCCAACCCGTGGTTCTCATTTCAAGTTCAGGGCATTGGATCAGAGTCACTGCTCATGAGCTTGTGGTCATTTACCTCTTTGCTTTGCATGGCAAGCTTTTTAGGTGCAGGGTAGCTAGGTCGCAAGTTAGACCCCGCCATGGATTTGGCAACCCTGATGAACAAAAAACCAGATGCAAAGAGACGACCTAGTCGACCTAGTGCCAAACCTGCTGCAAAAGGCAGTGCTGTTCGGAAAACCGTTTTGAAAAGACCAGCGGTTTCGAGAAGACCGGCGGCAGCCAACTCCGTGCCTGTGTCAGAGAATGCCAGTGCAGCCACCAGGTCGAATCTCAGTTGCAGCTGCCGTATGTTCCAAGAGGTCGGTTCTCACCACAGGTGAACATGTAACACAGTCCTTTGACACTTAGGATTGCCAATGACCTTGGGAGCTACCCGATGCCACAGGGCCCTGAGCAACTTTCGTTCCTAGGCTTTAAATCAAAGAAAAACAGTTGCATCCAGCTCTCTTTCATTGAAGTTGGTTACAAACCCTACTTTGACAGAAATGTGGCGGGTCTTGATCAGGACTTGGGCATTCACTTTGCTCCAGCGATCAGCGATTCTGTTTGGTGAGGAGTGTGTGAAAGACAAGCTTCGTGCCCTGCCCAGTATGGATACTTTTGATTGTGTTCGAAACAAGTGACTCACATAGCACAGCAGAGTTTGCAAGATCGAAGTGTGTCCAACTGTTATCGACAATGGATATTCCTTCTTTATGGATATTCTTTATAAACAAGTTTGTTTTATATATAAAACGCATATAATATATAATAATATATACTTTCAGTTCACCAGGCACCAATGCAATGCGGGCGTATGACCTCTTTGGCGGAGCTCTATGTGCCAGGCATGCATGGCGCATGATCGAATCTGCTGCCTTGGAGCTTTGGGGTGTCCAACCAACTCTGGAGTTCACATTCAATGACACTTGCATTGAACAATTCAAAAAGTAGAATTCCTGGGAGGCTTGCAGAATCTCATGTACAATAGGTTTCAAATGCATTTCAAAGGTGATATGGTTTAGGTTCCACCCTCAGAGCGCACCTTAGGTGGAGAAGAATTGGGCATGCATCAAGATGGCCAAGGATAATTTTCCAGACTCCTGTATCTTTCCAGATATTATGGACTGCGTGGCCAACCCGCCAAAGAAGAAGAATTGGAATCCCAGTGACTTGAAGTTGGTCAAGGAATGTCACTGTGTGCAACACCGCAGTGAGTGCCTTGACCAATTGAAGTGAGTTCGAAACATGTTCACCTATCATGAGGACTGTTATCTACTCCAGAAAAATGGTTGAGGTGCTCCTTGAACCTGGGCGAGAACGACCTCGGGATCATTGGGGCACCCTGCATTCTCTTCTCCAAGTGCGCTGCCAACCTCAAAATAAACCATGTGGAAGGCTGCCATTGAACCCTTTCTGCAACAGGTACGGCCTCCGTGAGGGCTTCAAGACCAAGAACATCAAGGTCAAACAGGCACATGATACTGCAATGGCATTCCAGCAGAAGACCCCAATTTCCATTCACGAGAATGTCCCAGACTATGCAGAGGCCGGTCTCCATTTTCTGATGTCAAAAATGGAAAAGCGCTTATATGTCTGTGTGTGTTGTTTGGAAACCTGGTCAACAACAAGCCTTAATCGAATCTGCTAGGCGTATTTGAAGCAACATCTCACGACCCATGACGAGCAGAAAGTTCTGCCTCAACCTAAGCAGTGCTTGACAAGTGGTTTGTGTAGAGTCCCAAAATGGTCTGACTCACGCCCAGGCTGTGCCCACGCCAGTTTGGGCACCCGAACCGAAGGCTTCGAGTTTGGCGCATCCTGTACGACAAGGACTCGAGGAAGTGGGATTGCCCTTATACTTTGGGGGAACTTGCCAACCTCCTCTTGGCACCCCTGGAATCCAAATTGAACCTGGATTTCAATGCCTATCTTTGTGCTTCACCTTCGGAGCTTCAAGAGCACAACATCAAAGAGCATGAACTTTCAGAGTTTAGACCCAAGTTCTTTTGTATGACATTGACATTATTCAACTATATTCAACTTGTTGTTCATCCAGAAATCCTCTGGGCGCACACTGGCCGGCCTTCAGGTCACAGAAGAAGCATTTGCAGATCTTCCGCAAGGTGCGTCCTGACAAGGCAATCTATGACTTGAGCGCGAACGCCCTCAAGAGATGCCGCACAGAGACAGTGGACCAGTGCATGCCCTGCTTGACCACAAGTTCACAGCTGTGGTCACATGTCAGAATGTTCTTTCAACTTAAAAAATATTGCACGTGTGCACTCAAGTATGTCTCTGATTATGAACCTATGCATTAGCATCAGGTCAGAGAATGCTGGGCGCCTCATGCTTGGGAAGGAGCAAATGCACATATTGGGTTTTCCATGCATTGCAGAAGCAGCAAACGCAGCTCGAGTTGACTCATGGCAAAATTGCTTCACTAAAGTCACACAAAACCATGGTGCATCAGGGGAAAGGACATGAACATACTTTGTGTTCGACCATTTTTCACCTTCGCCATAAGGATTATGTCTACTTGGACCACATCTCAGAGTCCTCCCTCCGAAGCATCTCTGGCAATGGCATGAGCTTGCCATGTGCTGGTTTCATTATGCTCATGACAGTGCTATGCGTGTCACATCGCTAGCTAGATCTTTGATGGCAGTTTTTTTGTGTACCATACATATTAATTCGGCACCTGAAGCGATTGAAGCAACAGCAACCAGATGGAAAAGAAAACATTTATTCTGCTGTGAAAAGTATGTGTATGTATGTGTATAAGAAAGGGTAGGGATTTTCTGCCTGATGGTTCAATTGACAAAAGATTGGGTGAATACAAACAGCATCTCAGCTCAAGGCTGAAATGCCACCGTTTGGTGCTGAAAAGGAAGAAGCACCCAACTCAAAACCATTGCCGTTCCTATCTGTCCGAAGCCATGACCGAGTGAAGCAGCTACCATCTTGTGGCCCCTTTGGAAGTGAACCTGCAGAATCATTTTCTGGACCTCCTAGCAAGAAACCTTGCTCACAGCCGTCCCAATCCAGGCACCAGCCATCCACCCGCTCTGTCCTCTGGGGTGCAGAGCCGGAAGAAGTTGACAATGAAGTCAACATCGGGCAGCCTTTGTCGGGGTCGAGCAGTGGTTCTGAAGGTGAATATCGTGGGTCAGCCAACACAGTTTTTTCCTTGGGTTGGAATACTCTACTGGACTTGAAGAAGGCGAGCTTTTGGAAGGAAAGTGTGAACACTGTCATCTCAGACAAGAAGAAACGCAAGTACAACAACACTGAACGCGCAGCAATGGCTAGCTATAGTCGGCAGAACTCTGCAGGGTATTTTAAAGAGAATGGTGTGGATGTAGCACGACTTCAGAAACTCTTTGCGTTGCCAACCTGCCAATGCGCCTTGGTATTGGGATGTTTGCCCATTTTGTGATATGATGAAACATCCCACACCAAGGCCCAGGGTTTTCTAGCAAATTTTCTTCATAGGGTTCACTCGGCCACCACTCAGGTGCCAATGGGGAATGCTTCAAGCAGTTCAAGAACTCAAAGGACCTGCCGGGCTTTCTGAAGACTTTCTGGGACACGCAGAAAAGTGATCAAGACTCCATGGTAACTGGGTTGTGCCATCAAGACATGTTTCCTTTTTGTTGGTAATTTCGTAAACCCTGAAAGAACAGAACCGAACCCCAAAGTATCAATCATGTGGCATCCCAGGTTCAGCTTTGCTTAGCCACCACCAGTGAATCTAGAGACAAAAAGTACACCCTTCTGGAGAAGCCTGTGGGCTTCAAGTGCCTTGCAGCGCTGCTGGGCGTCGGGACTGGTCGGCTACGGAAAGCAGCCACAAGCACCCCAGACCTGAGACGCGGAACTCGTCCCTACATGAGCCGACCTGCCACATGGAGTGTGGATGGTTTTCTGCGTGTGGCATACGACTCAGTGGCAGAAACTATGCCAGATGAGTTTCTTACTGTACCAACCATGGGTTTTTATTTTGTAGTGGATTTTTGGGTTGAATATATTATATATATATGTGTGTGTCTATGTGTTTCCCAAAGCAGCCAATGCATATACCTGCAGGTTCATCAGACGTGGCAGAGCTTCCCAGAAGAAGAAATCAGATCTTGACAGTGATGGGGAGTCTGGGTCTGAAGAAGTGGCTTCTGACATTGAAAATGTCGAGGAGATTCGTGAGTGGATGTCTACCACATCTGCCAAAAGCCCACTTCTTCCCAATCAGGTTCTTGTGCGGAAATACCTAGCACCAGGGAATGTGATGGAGCTTTATGAAGAGTACAAGGCTACCCAGCAAATGCTTGGAGGAAAGCATGTGTCGTACCTGATCTTGGAATCAAAACCATCTGAGTTTTGGGGGGTTTTGAACTGGTTATGGCAATAAGTTGGAAGTGGTGTGTTTCCCAATCAACAAGAGTCTGCCTAACCGGAACCATCCTCAGGTACACCACGTTCAACCATGTCTACAAGGAGCGCTGGCAAGACATCCTTCGATTTCGATCTCGGTCCCTATTCACTACTTGTGAAGTATGCTGCTCCTTCAAAACACAGTTGCAGGATAGGAAACTCAGTTTCGAACAAAAACTGGGATGTTTGCAGGGCTACAGGGCCCATCTACACGACCAGTATTGCGATCGTACATCAATTTGGACACTGCAGTTTGAGGGTGCAGATCCCCAATCTGGAATACTAATGATTTGCACAGATGGCCTTGATCAAGCCAAATTTGCCCTTCCAAGGGACCCACAGCTTCGCGCCAATGCTGGGTTGTCCCTGGGTAATAAAGTAAAAAGAAGTTTCTGTCGAATTCTATTTCTGTTGCACCCACCCACCCAAAAAAGCAGCTTCCCCCACACCAGCACCACTTGCCTGGTCGACAGTCTCAGGGCGAAACACCAAAGACCTCGCATGAAGATCCACGGAGTCTGGTGTTATGGCTACACCCTCAATATATCAGTCATGGACGAGTGTAGTCGACATGACAGCAGCGCAATCCTAGAAATGATTTCGAGGGCAGTCGAGGACGCAACTTGGGTTTCCTTTTGTACAGGTTTCCTTCAGTTTATTTATGTAGTCAAAGCCAAAGCGATGGCCTTTTGTTGAACATCCTCGGAAATGTAAGTTCAAAAGAAATGATTAAGTAAGGTGATGGCCATTTGTGATCGGGATCACCGACCACGACCGACCACTCTCATCGTCAACGCTGCTCACAGTGATTAGTGTTTTGCCTCTTTATATACGCCTTTAGGTTTCGATTATTTAGTGTTTGTATGTCTCTGTCTTCGACAAACAGCTCAATCTTTCAGGCTGACAACACAGTCAGAGAGGCTAAAAATCAACACGTCCTTACATACTTGCACCTGGCAGTGGGGAGGCATTTGTTTCGGAGTGCGTGTTTGTGCCACCTGCGAAAATCGCATACCCATTGCAGGGTGGGACATTCGGCTGTGTTTGGTGTAACATTGTCTTGTTGATTCTTTACCACCAATTAGATACATAGTGGTTAATGAGCAGTGCTCTTCTTGGAAAGCAAACCAAGCTAAGATCAGCTCTGGGGAATCATATCAAGACGGGTGGCGCATGAAAGTGGCCTACTGGATCCAAGTGATGTGATCGATGTCATTTCCTCAGAACTTTCCAAGCCCACCATCAAAGATTGGATTGGACATCATACCCAGGTTTCTGTCAAGAAACTCGATGCCAGCAGGAGCTGGCGATCGCACTTGCCGGGAGCAGGGGTGAAGCTGGAGGGGGGGCTACTGAAATACCAGTCTGGCAACCATTTATTCCTTTGCATGCAGCGCCGAGGACCAGGGTCTAGGAAAGAAAACATATAAACATAAAGAACTCATGTCTCGAAGCGAATTGTGTTTCAACCGACCCAACCGCAGTTGATTTGAGAATCCCGGCCCTGAGATCTTCCAGAAGCCTTGGCCGGCATTGTGAACTCCGGCAGCTACAATGGGCCGCCCCATCCACACGATGTCATATCGATGATCAAGAAACACATTGCGGACTCAGATCTATCACAGCCACCGCTCTTGGTTATGACACACAACCGAGCTTTGGCCATGGGGATGGTTGCGCCCGACAAGTCACTCAGACCAACTCTTCTCAAGATTTTGATGTTGAAAGTTCTTGGGACAAAGTTGGGTTCTCTCAAAGCGCATCATCATCAAATAGATGGAAACTGTGTTTCTCATGATTTTTCATTCTACTTATTATATCTTATTATATAACCCTGGATCGATAACAGGGTGAAGATTACAAGAAACCATCTTGAGTAGAATCATCAGTTTCACAAGGTGGCCCAACAACCATTCTGGCCAATGGGCATCTGGGATGAACAAGCTTGCAGAAGCAGTTCAGTTCTACTACGGGCGCCAGTATGACAGAGCTGTTGCCTATCTCCAGAGTTTGGCAGCCAATGCTTTTTGGACAGCCGCTGAGTTTCCGGACATGCCGTTTCACACCCAGCGCCCCCAACCTCAAGGCATGGGGGCTCCAAGATAGATTCTTCATCAGGCAGTGCTAAATGCATTGGCCCCATCGATCCCTCTAAGAGCGATATTTAATCGCAATGCACCTTAAGGATTAGAACCCAGATTGGACTCTGTGTGCGCTTAAGGCGCCCAGGGGATTGCAGCTCCCGTCCAACAAAACAGCCCAGTGGGAAGGTGGGGAAGGGGAACAGTGCAACTCAGAGGACTTCCAAGGGAAACTGAATCTTATGTTCACAAGTGTCCAAGTACAAGTGCTCTTTACAGAACCCACAGCTCTCAGGTCAACTGTTTTCGGGGCAGCGCCACTTGACGGTCAAAGATTTTTGGGGCACCACCGCTCGACGCATCGAAGGTTTTCGGGGCACCGCCGCTTGACAGGTCAAAGGTTTTCGGGGCACCGCCGCTTGACAGGTCAAAGGTTTTCGGGGCACCACCACTTGACAGTCAAAGAATCAAAGGTTTTCGGTGCACCACCACTTGACGGTCAAAGGTTTTCGGGGCACCACCACTCATCGGTCAACAGTTTTCGGTGGACTGGTTGGCAACGAGTCGGCTCAAAACAGAGGAGTTTGAAAGATGTGTCACTGTGGTGGGTACAGGGAGTGGTACAGGGTTTTTGTGGCTTCATCTCTTCTGAGTCCATTGATTTTTTTCCAAAATCCATAAACAAAATCGATGGACTGGTTGTGGTCTAGTGCATTGAAACTAATTGGAAAAAAGACGGAGCTTCAATTTTTTTCAACTTCCAACATAAAAATTGAAGCTCGGAATTTTTTACATAAAGGATCAGGGCACCGGCTGTTGACCAGTCAACTGAAACAGAATCAAGATCTTGAAAACGAAGTCGGTGCACTCAAAGGACATCAAACTGTGTCTGGACAGTCTTTTTGGGATCAAAGGGTTCCGTTGGGGCGCGGTCATGACAGTGACTCCGTTCAAAGCGAAGGCCGAGGAACGTGCCAAGTTGACAAAGAAGGATGAAGAGAAGGAGGATGTAGAGCGTCCTGCCAAGCGCATGTGCAGCCAGTATGAGAAGCAAATGGCCAAGATGTCGGGCGGTGATTTGCAAACTGTGAAGGATACATGATTGTTTGGCCAAAAAATGTTTTAAACCATGTCTCTTGACTATGTCCTCTCAGTCTCATGTCTCTTGACTATAACCTCATAGTCTCATGTCTCTTCATCCCTTGCACCAGGATCTCTTGGAATATGTGGCTTCCTACCGTGGTGAGCAGGCGTCCCCTGGTCAACACCCTGCAGCATTGGTGACCGAGATCTTTGCTAGTGACAGTGATGACCACAATACGCTTCACTGCCAACAGCTGGAGGGTTGGTACCATGACTACGCCAAACTTCGCAACATGACCTACCTCTTCAAGAAACCGGATTCTGTGGTTTCTAAGCTGAAAAAAATGGGTATTGAACTATGGTGTTCTCCCTGCAACACCACAACCACCCAAATTGACCATGTGATAGTTGACTTCTGAAAACAATTGATATTCTTCCGGAGTCGACTTATGCAACCAAGGTGGTGGATCCATCGATGGATGGAGAGACCATCAAGGTTCCAATCACCTGCCTCAAGCGCCTGGCTATTCAACTGTTACATTTTTTCTTTAGGGGTGCTGAGAAGCTAGTTGCGGGTGCTGACCACACCAACATCTTGCCATAGAAACTTCCCCCAAAAAAACAGTGACACCGGTTAGTCAGAGAAACTTCCAAGTTACTTTTTGATCTTGTACACTTTGTCGATCTTTGAAGCTGGTATACTTGCTGGTGAGCTTCAAGCTAGTATATATACTTGCTGGTCACTCTTTTCATATCTTTTGATATTTTTGGCATTTTATTCATCAGGTTCTGCCCTCCAGAAGACGGCTTCCCAGTCACTGAAGACTGGATATCCACGTTCGAGTCGATGATGTTTGGTGGAGTGGAGCTCGGCCGAGAGCCATTGGATGTATCACTTGACTTCCCAGCAGGCTTGGGGTGTGCCAAACCAAACTGTGTTACAAGTTTTTGTTTTGGTGTTTGCTGGGTGATCCCTGCAGATACATGCCGGCCATTGTCAGTGCATTGCATTGACCAGATCAAGGGATGGACCCGATCCAGCGTGGTCATGACTTTCCTGATCGCCGCTTCGGAACTGGATTTGACAGATCCACAGTCGCATGAGCTTCTGAAGCCTTTGTACCCAGTTCTGGACAAGGCCTTCATGATCCCAGTACATGTTCCCAGCCTCAATGATATATACTTTAACATTTTTTGCAGGTTTTTGTTTGCAGCCACCAAACCAAGACTTCACCATTAGTGTGCCAATTTTTGAATGACCAGGTTGCTTTCAACATGGGGGCCACTGATCGCAGCTTCAGAAATATAACTTTGTCCTTCAGGGGGAGCGAGCGACAGGCGCCCAGCACCTTGCAGCTTGCATTGCGATTTTCACGGGTGCTGGAAATCTATGAGCATGATGGAAGGCATCACGCAGATATGACCACAGAGCAACGATTGCAAGATGTCGTCACAGAGTTCAACCAGTCATCTGGTCTTCAGGCAAAGCACCGAATTGAAGGCGATCGGCTTGGTGCAGTTTATAACCTTTTGACTGGCACAACAGATGTGCCTCGTCTTTGCCTGACAAATGCTTTGATTGATTTTTGGGTGATGTTGCCCATTCATTGTTTTTGGGTGATGTTGCCCAAACATTGTTTTACTGGTCATGTTTTATCAATCCCTTGCAGATCTCAGGAATCCCGTGAGATCATCCGGGCCCACCTGGACGCCCACAAGTGGGCCTACTGTGCTTTTAGTACTGAACAATTCAAGGGGGCCAGATGGATGCTTACAGCAAGCCCAAAGGCTTCATCATGCCCACCAGAGCTGCGCAAGTGCCTCACTGTCACGGCCCACAGTCAGTGTCTTCATCTGAGACTCGTCATCAAGATGTTCCTCGACCAGGGCCGCCGCCTTCGACCTTCAGCGCGGGCCAGGGCTCGGCTGAGCTCTGGCCATTTTGACCAGATTTGCGACTTCGCTTGTGTGTTCTCCCATGTTTGGCAAGAAGCTCGCCTTCTAGCAAGCTGGAATGAGGAGAAGGATCAAGCCATGGAGAAAGCTTTCTTCATGCGGATTCTTGGTTTTCCTTTGTTCAAGATGTCATTTTGTAATTTTTTGTTCAGCACCAGGGTTGAAAATGATTGTTTGCAACTTTTGTGTATCATTTGTTTGTGTGGCCACATCTCAGGGACTATTCGGCAGAGATTGAGGCAGCAGTGACCGCCAAGCTGAGCTCCTGGAAGCCACAGCACTTGTCTCTATGGGTGGACCTGGTCGAACCACCAGCTGGACCAACAGCAGTGGCATCAGCTGTGGAGATTGTTGAGATGGAAGATGCGGCCCAAGCGGCCCGTTTCCGGGAGGTCTCAGCCAAGCTCTCTCAGGACATTGCATCGATGACTGCTTTCAACACTGCATCGAATGAGACCAGCAGACGCAGCCATGTCGTGAATGTCATGCATCAAAAGGCCCAAATGACAGTGGGGAAGCAGTTTCTCATTTTTGCATTGCGATTTTCCAATTTTTCGCCTTTTGATTTTTTGCATATTCCTTTGCACTTTTAGAGTATGCAAAAAAACCTTGAGACATATGCTTTTTTGCATTCACTTTGATAGCCCAAAGGCTTTGCGAGACCTTCATGGAGAAGCAATGCAGAATCAGTTTGGTCACCAAGAAGGATGGCTTTGACACTGGCTTGGATAGCTTCATCCGCTCAGCAGCTGCTAGCCACAAGGTGCGGTGTTGAAAAAATAGTTCTGTCCTCAATGGTTTGAAAATGATTGAAACCTTTTTTAAGTGTTTTGTCATTGGCGTGACGTTGATTTCATTGAACCATATTGAACCTGTTTCAGGTCACTCCAACGGATGTGGATTGCATCCTGTACTTCGATTGCGCGAAGCTGGGGGTGCTGAGCCAGGCAGAGATCAATTTGATCGGTGACTATGCAGAGAAGACCTTGTTCCGGAACATCCAGCGCCTGATGCTAAGTTTCTTGTTGTGCCCAATTGAAACCACTTAAAGAAGTTGGTTCCATGGGTGAAGTACAATCTAGGATCTGTGCTGGTCTTGCTTCCGCCTTTGCTTTGTGGCAGCGAGAGTGGGGGATCCCTCCGTGGAGACTACAGGAGACTTGGGTTGTTGTTATGTTTTTCAGACTGTTTTTCAGTTTCAACCACTAGCCACTAGTGCATCAAGCTGCTTCAATAGATTCAGCCAGGAAGATAGAGAATAAGCTTATTGGATGCAAGATCGAACTTCGCACAGTGTGCATCAACCTGAACTTGGCAGACATCCATGGAAACCGGGAGATGCCAGCAGCATTTCCAATATGGCTTGGAGTCCCAGACAGTGCGCTTCCACTCAAGGGGACAGCGCACAGATCAGTTCGTGGCGCACCTGTGCCAGATTCTGCCACCAATGTGCTTCTTGGTCCAAAGCTCAATTTTTGCCACAGAATATGTTTGGTATCCCAAAAGGCCCAAAGGCTTCATCTTTGCCCAACCCTTTTTTTGTTGTCTTGGAGCTGACAATTCAGGTTTTGCACCAGCCAGTTGTGGTTGCGGCAGAGCCTGAACTCAGAGTCCTTCCCCAAAGCTCTGGATGAACGAAGCTTTGTAGTGCCGGGGGAGGCCTTTTTGTCGCACGACACGCGAAGGTCCCTCACGGACCTTCAAGAAACCGCTCAATGGTTGGGTGGTGCTGCTGTTTGCCAATCCATCTTGGAGTCACTGACAGGTTGGGGGTTGGGACTGTTTCCAAACACGTGTTGTTTCACTACTGCAATAGATGCCACATTTTCATTTGGGCGCCCTTGCAGGTGGCAGGAAGAACTTTCATGCTGCAGTGGTGTTGCATCCAACTCTGTATGATGGATGTGTTGAGATAGCTAGTGTCCGTGCTGGCTTCAGTGTTCTGTCATCATCCGGGCAGCCAACCAACCACAACTGTGGCAAGGAGATTGTGAAGACCCACCTGCTGGAGGTAGGGCTTTTTGAAAGACTGTTCAATGTCCTTTGGGTCATTTGATGTCATTTGAGTCATAATTGTTTGAATCATTTTGAATCATTTGATGTCATTTGTTGTCGTTTGTGATTTTGGAACGGTCAGGCTTGGAAGGCTGGCCGCCCGCCCATGGACAAGGCCACACCACGCTACAAGCCTACTGCTGCCCAGGAAGAATTGCCAACCACACCAAGCACGCCAGACCTGAAGATTTGCCAGTTGGTTGGTGGCAAAATGGTGATTCCTCAAGATGTGAGGAAGGCTTTCCTCACATGCCCTGTCTGGGGGCCAGAATGGCGAGATATTTTGAAGAAGTTCGACAATGACTGGGGAGTTGCAATTCCTGATCCAGTGTCTGGGCAAGCGCCAGCTCAAAGCAGCGATGAGACTGCTGTGGATTCGCATGGTTTCTGGGAGGGCTACTTTGCTGGTGAGCCAACGACCTACGAGGCTCTCAAGAGCAAATATGGCAGTGATCTCACTGAGATTGCAGGTGTGGATTCTGCCACGTCCTTTGTGATGGCCCCAGGACCTGCCTTGTTCATCAACGCCAAAGAGGCAGTGAAGCTCAAGAAGTCTGACAACGCCTTGATTTCACATGGGGCTGGAACATGGCTTTTGGCTGACAAGGCTGACAAGATCTTGCGAGAGCAGCCAGGGAAAGCCATTCCGTGCAGCTGGAGCTCTGATCAGGGCCTTGTGATCGTTGAGGAGTGGGCTATTGTCCTTTTTTGCTATGTCCAGATTAACTTTTTTTGCCTGTTCAAACGATTTTTGCTATGTCCTTTTTAACCTGTCCCATGGACCTTTAAACTTTAAACCTGTGTCCCATGGAGGATGATGGCACAGACAGCGCTGTCATGACACTTCGTAAAGCATTGCAGCACTTCGAGGCAAAGGGCTATGTTGAATATACTCTTGGTGGTCATGTTTGCAGCAGGCCACCTAGTGTTCAGCAAGGCCGTGAAGATGATTGCTTCGACATCCAGCCAGACACATCGAACAGTTTGGCTTGGAGACCAAATGCAGTGCCTACCAAGAACCTCAAAGCAGCAAACTTGGCAAGTGCGTTTCCATGGCCCATGCTCGAGAGCAGCCCATTGGAGGTGGTGCCTTGCATCACTTTCTTGAGCAATTTTTTGGTCTATGATCGGTGTTTGTCTTCTCTTTCAATCTTCCATCACTTTTTTTCCTGGAAAACTTTTGTGTTGTCAGGTGTGGAGGCTGCGTTTCTGGGCGAATGAGAAGTGCATTGCGCCGGCAAAGCCGCTTTACCATTTGCCTTGCGACCTTGAGCTTGCCAAGGGATCCTGCAAGCGTCTTGTGTGACATGCCTGACTGGCATAATGTTGGCCGGGGTTCAGGGCAACGTGATGCCGTTGCCTGTTGTGGTTTCTTTCTTGGTTTGATACAATCAAATCACACGCCGGGGGCTTTCAGTGATATCGCCAGATATCCACACAGCCTATGCCAGAGAGAGCGAGGTTGAGGAAAAGTATATCTGAGAAAGCATTGTATTGATCATTCAGTATTGCTGTCCATCCTTTTTGAGAAAACATTTTTTGAAGCTCTTGTTGCAAGGCGTCTCAAATCATGTCTTTTGACATCTTTTGAACCTTCTGTGCAGTGTGTCTCATACCAATTCTGGTGACATCCTTTGAAACTCTTTACCAATGTGTCTCACACTGCTTTTATCATTTTCGACATCTTGGAGCGTTCTTTACAGTGCTGTTTCTCATACCGACACAGTTTGAAACTTCCTTGAGTGCTTTTGATCAAACAATAGCTGGGTTTTCACCGCCATTTGTCACCCAGTGTGGAGTGATGACCAGCTTGTTCACCCAAATTGTGGTGGATGATGATGAAATCATGGAGTATGAGCTGAACCCTCAGGCCACGAAGGAGCCAGTGGCTACTCACCGGAAGCGGCACCATTTCCTGATTCACAACACACTTCGCCCCAGTCCATCTACGTTCACAATCGGGACTGTGCAGCCTTCGCTTGTAAAGCCAGTTGGGGTTGAGGATTCAGTGTTTGCCCCAGAATCGTCACTTGGACTTGGTGGTTAGTATGGAATTTCTTGATGCTGTATGGTGTATATACAAATATATTCAAGAATAAGTCAGTGTACTTCCAAAAAAAGTCTGTCAAACCGTGTCCCATCACTGCTCCTGAGGCCGAAGATGAATGAGGGACGTCGTGTCCTGAGGCGCTTGGCTAGTAGCAACAACATCACTGGCGATGACCCCAAGGACTTCAAGAATGACCCCCAAATGCCTTCCTTCCAGAATGACCTTGAGGATTCCCAAGTGCCTTTCGACCCCACCTGCCCTATGCATGATGAAGCTTTGGCAGGGCAAGCACCAGTTCACATGGACCCCTACGAGGTGAAGGAACCTGGCCAGCAAGGACCACCACCTGCTGTTCAGACTGAGGGTGACAAGAGTGCTCCAATGCCTTCCAATCCCAAGATCGACGCCAACGTTTCTGATGGTGTGGATGCTCCACAGTTGAGTAGTGAGGAAAAGAAACGTGAGCTTGCTCGAATCAACAGCCGCAAATGGCATGCAGAGTGGATCTCGAAAGGAGTTCCTCGTGGGACTTCAAACGAAGAACCTCCAGCGGCCCTCAACCCAGCAGTGGCTCCTTCTCCAGCAGCTGCTGCCTCCCCGGCTGTAGCCTCCTCGATGGCCAAGGTGCGTGAGAAGTTTATCACTGAGTGGATTGAGGCAAGTGGTTTGCCTAAGTCTCAAGACCGTTTTCGTTTAGCTTGCAAAGCTTGGATGGAAAGCACCACCCGGGCTGAGATCATGAGCACCCGTATGGGAGTGCAGCGTTGATTGGGTTTGCAATGATGGTCGAATAGATACGGTTTTGCAACTTTGTGATTCGTCATTCTCTGAATCCAGTGTTCTTTCAAGTCTGTTCCACACTGCCCCTCAAAAAAGGATGTAGGTGAAAACTGTTTTGCCCAATCAGCGACACCAAGTGTGTCCTTTACCTGTTGCATTGGGGAGAATGCTGCAGGGATGATCGCTGTTGAAAAAAATCATGAAAAACAACTCGAGCACTCTGGGAAACTCTTGTCACCACTGCTCCCACTGATCCACCACTGGTCCACCGCCCAGGCCGGGTCTCCTTCAAATGGCCATTGCAAGGCTTCGTGGTGCATACCCGCGGTGACGCGGGTCGTGACGCGTGTTCTGAAATATTAAGTAAAGAGATATCTAATACACTTGTATATATATATATATAACTATATTTATATATATATTTTATGTGTTTGTCATACCTATCTAAAGGTCGAAATATGTTGGTTGAAATCGAACGTGTGTTTGGTTTGAAATGAAAGTTGAGAAGCTGAGAACCACAAACACGACACCCTCGACATTCTCTCTCTCTCTCTCTCTCTCCCTCTCTTTCTCTTTCCTTTTCTCTCTCTCTCTCGACACCCTCGCACGAGGTGGATTGGTCTCGACACCCTCGCAACCCAAGACCAGGCGGCCTGAAGTCACACGTGTATAGTGTATACTTTCAATGAGTTTGGGAGTTTATGTCATCTAAACTGATCAAATGAAAAGAACTTGTGTGCAACACATTCGGAGCACAAATCTCTCCAGCTCTCCAGGCTCTCCAAAAAGTGATGAACCAGAAGGCCCAGAGGTTACATGGGAACGCGTGCTTGGGTGCGCAAATGCCAAGGAGAAGGTGTGGAACCTGTCTCACCCATGGATCCGAGAAATCTGGGAATGTGATTAGACATATAGGTTTATGTTTGTTTTTTCTTTGCATGGGTGTAGCTCAAAGCTCAAAGCTCAAGCTCAAAGCTCAAAGCAAATACTGCCAAGCTAACATGGCCACACTAGCCATGCATCAAGTACACTTTTGCTTTGTGATCCTGGGTGCACTGTCAGTGTGCAGTGTTGTCATGGTAGTGGAGCAGGAGGGGAATGGAAACCAAATCCACCAGGTGGATGGGTGGGTGGGATGGGAATCAAATCAGGGGCTAGATGCCACCAATTGGGGGCTAGATGCCACCAATGTAACTTTTATCTTTGGCATGTCTTCGTAGCAGCCTCCTTTGAACTCTGTCTTGGGACGCAGCTGCAATACTTGCAAACCTCAATTGCAAGTCAAGTGGAATGATTGCAGGGGCTGAAGTGAGAGGCCAGGTATCAATCCTGAACCTCCTACTACCTCTCGCTAGTCCAGGGTCTTTGCTCCACATGGCTGGGAGGCGGTAATGCCCTTTGTCGCTCCTTTCTTGTCCCTCGACCGGCATCCCAAGTGCGCTATGACCAAGCCAAAGACTTGAGTAGACCAAAATTTTGCCTCGCAGGTGTGAAGAGCTATTGACACGGTATTGGTCACTTTGAAAATACCCACAAGGTCGTTGGCGCGTACGCATTCTTTGGTACAAGTTGTGCCGTGCCTCGCTTCGCATGGACCTAGCCGAACCTGATTTCAACCTCACTCTTGCTTTCAGTTTGCTCATGCATACGTATACGCTGTGCAGCTTCGGTGGGATACCTTCCTGCCTATAAGCAGAATGCAGCAGAATGCAGTTTTGTCCTGGACGTCCTGTACTGAGAGCGGCTTGAGAAGAATTCATCGCCCCGTTTCACTTCTGTGTTGGTCTTCGGATCTGCACCTTTTGCTCTTTAAGACTAGAGCGGACATGAGCCTGATCTGCTTGTTTCTGTCGTTGTTGGGTTTTTTGTTTGTGTTTTGTGTGGTTTGGGGGTTTTGGTTTGGTTCCGTCGCTTTCGTTGGTCAGGCTCCACACTCCTCATACGAATTCGACTCGGTGACTTGTGCCTCTCGGCACACATAGCGCCCCTACCCGTGCAAAAAAAAAACGCCAGCAGCTTCAAGCGCTGGCGTGCCCCCCGCTCGTCCCTCGCTCCCAGAACCGAGGTAAGATTTGCCTCCGCTGTTTTGGACTCACATGCTTTGGCACAAAAGGACAGGAGGCCGTACAGCCAATAGGCTGGGTCAGCATACAGCGACAACCCCATAGGGTCAGAGTCCTTGGCCACATTCGATGCGGGTTTGAGGAATGCAAAGAGCGACGCTAGTCGTTTGGCCATTTCGCCACAGATATTATCAATTTCATGGCAAATGTCTTTCATGACCTCCCGCGGCAGCTGGCGAAAGTCGACCCCTCGAAAACTGAGCTCAGCAACACGGCGGTAGAGGGTAACCCCATGCAGCACCCCAATGTGACGCAGCTGGACACTAAGGCGTGCTAAGGGCCACTCCTGCGGCAAGTTAGTATACAAGCTGACTGGGGGCGCCGCCGGGGGCAGAGCCTCGAGCCTTTCTGCAGTCTCTGCACTTGCGCGGGCAATCATTTCGACTGAAAGTGTTTGGTAACGATGTACCATTTGCATCGCTCTCTGCTCTGCAATCTGGGAAATTTCGGTGTCCACTGATCCAGACTTTTTCTTTCCACGAGTGCGGACGCCATGTGGGCGGAGTGCCCAGGTCATCATTGAAGGAAAAGGAAACACGAAATGATGGGGGGGAAAGGAACACAAGCAAACCCCAAACCAAACAAAAAACCAACCAAACACCACAACCGGACAACACAAAACCGACGGCCAGAGGCCGAGTCCCCACTATCAAGGAGTGTTTCCTCTGTACGGAGGTGAGACAGGTGAGGAAAGATTGGCTACGTACTATCTATGGGCCTGAATTCGCAAAGAAAATCTGTCAGGAGAGGTCAGCGCACGAGCGGAGTGCAACGAAGCCAATCAAAGGGGCTTCGCTCCACCCTCAAAACTGTGACCAAACGGCCACTGCAGCGAGTGGCAAACCATGGTAATTGGGTGCTTTGCAGGGGCTGCTTTGGTTGTCAGCAGGTCTGATTCCTGCCCAAGGAAATCAGTTGTTGCAATGCCAAGCATGCCGAGGAAAAGTCCCTTCTCGTTGCACAACCCTTTCAACTGATTGCACGAACGAATCGAGAGGCATATCAGTGGTTAGGCAGTGGAAGCAGAAGCAAACGAAGAGAGCTTGCTGACTAGGGTGCTGCATTCCCCCGCGAAGGGAGGTCTCCTTTGCACCCCTTGGCACCCAAGAAGTGCCATAGAGGTATGTTCTGTTCCTGAAAGAAAGAGAGGTGCCATCGTGAAAACATCCTCCTGTTACGCGCAAGGCCCGTGTGAAACAGGTGAAACCGTGGACCTATCCTAGCATGGCGCTTGTGCCTCTTTGTACAAGATTGGCCATGGCGTGGCAGCCGCAGAGAGTAACTAAGGTTCTCCCTGGGCGCCTTCCATTACCATTCTCTACCACCCGCCTTTTGGGAATGAGAAGCTAAGGC